ACAGCGTTACCGACATTCTCGATGAACGTGTTGTTTCTTACAAGGCTCGGGCGAGCATGGACTCGCCGGTCGCGTGACAGTACAGGAAGCCACGGCACTGGACTGCCACTGCAAGCCCGTAGCGGTTTTCCGGCCTCGGGTTGCAGTGCCAGTATCGGACAAACACGAGACATTTACTGCCGTGCGCGCCTGCTGTGCTTGACCATGCCGTAGTGCTTGGCGACTTCCAGTCCGATCTCCATCTGTCCGTCCTTGAAGTCGAAGCCGGCCTGGACTTCACAATCAATGTCAACATCACTCAAGCTTGCACGACCGTCCTCGTTGGTGGTCTCGGTTGCGGGAAGATAGCCGATCTGGAACTTGTCATCCCAAGCCTCCACATGCGACTAAGTGATCCGTTTCAAACAAGCCAGTTGCAGTAGGATGTGTCGTGGTCCAGCTGTGAAAGTGGTACGCCCTCTGCCAATGCAAGTCGATCCAGAGTCACCAATGAATTGAAATGCTCATGTCAAGGTCAGGGACTCGGCATTGCAACGCCGAGCGACGAGTTGCGAGAGGAAAGCCAACGTCATGCATGTTGATTACACATTAGTGTCGGGCAGTGCAACAGTTGTTGTAGTACCCATGAACTGGGAATTGGCCGGTCTCACAATTTGTTCGTGCAGGGGTGTTACAAGCGCTGTTATGCTTCGGGTAAGCGAACCGAAGCCCAAATTCCCTTTTCGCCCAAACGTGTGCTTGCGTTACTGCCTTGAACTTCGTGGGAGTCAGCAGCATTTGCAGGCGTGCGTACGCGCTCTCCAGTGATGACACGGAGCGCAGCACCCAGCTGGCTGTGGGCGACCGGATGATCCCAGTCTCGGAGAAATAAAGCAACCCATCTTCCCGGCCAAGCAATGCATCCAGGCGATGCGGCCGACTTGTAGAGCCTTGACAGCTCAACAGCAAGGCAGTTGTGACAAGGACACTTGTGCAGCATCGTCGACCGCTGCTCAAAGATACTGGAAACAAGAGTGTCCATGCACATGACATGGCAGCGCAGTGGCTTCGCCTGGACCGACGACCACCACGAACATGGGCTTGATGCGTCTTTGACCGAAAGCTGCGGAGAAAATCAGGTCGTCCACCTCTCGGCATAGCCGGGTGTCGCCAGCCCGGAGCAGGGTAAGCAGGATCACTACCTGCACAGTTCGATCAGGCTAGCAGCACTAGTCGTGTGCCTCAAAGTCTGAGACTAGGCCTCGGAGTCTGGCAAGAGGGCAGTAGCGCGCGCGCTGTTCTCGGCGACTCCGTGAGGTCGCCGGTTATGAGGTAACTCAGCAAGCCAAGGACATGATGCAACATGTTCGGTCGCACACATAAAGAAAGCACTAATGCACAACCGGCCTGTGCTGGCACTGGATGGGCGTCGAGAAGTTCCACCTGTAACACAACTTGCTACATCTGGAAACTTCGGAGCGAGATTTGTGCTAGCAGTAATAGCCTCATCATCCGAGGTTTCTTCGTGGCGCTCTCCAACTGGAGCCGGTTCTGCCTTCGCAATTGTCACATCACCGACTTTGGTTTTCAGTTCACCCTTGCAGCCTCGGAGTTGCTGGAGCCTTCGGTGGTAGAGCCAGCCTCGCAGGCCACAAGCCACGTCACGTAATCTCTGCTAGCGCTGCTGAAAGTTTGAGACATCAGTTAGGAAGCCGGCCCAGCTGCTGGCTTCTGTATCCGAGCCAGCTTCATATGCTGCGGCAGCTGGCCATTGTGGAGTCGTTGGCTGCAAACGACCGCGTACCTGCCAACCGTGGCGACGGAATGCAAGGCATGTATCGATGCCCAAATCGGAAAGCGGCCTTGGGGGGAGGTGTGAATTTGTAGACCGCTGAGCGAAAGTGTTGGAGGATGGACTCCTGCTTCTCTTTCGTCATCGCCAGGAACCGAAGGACAGCGTCTCGCAACCCCTGCAGTCTTCTTTCCAGAGCAACAAATGCCTCGCTAGTGTGCTTTGTCCACCGAGGCTACGACTCCGTGGAAAAGCCGCGGCTCCCACCCATGCAGCATCAAGTTCAATTTGTCGGGCTTCAGCTTTTCCAGTTGCCTGCGGAAGCAGCGCGCTGCACATCCTGCAGTTGAGTGTACGTCACTACTACGTGCCTGGCCAGAACGATGTCTTCATTGCGTGGCACTGGGTCGGAAGCGGCAGGTGGTCGCCGAAGTTCATCGACGAAGGATGGCAAGAGATGAAGCGACACCCTAGGGATGTGCAGTATGCACGTTGCTTGCGCAGTGATGTGTATCCCGAGTTTCACTATGCTGCCAAGTTGGCGGCATTGCTGTCACAAACATTTGCGATCGAGCTGCATCGGACATGTTCCATTGGCTTGGCCCGGCCTCGATACAAGTCTGGGTACTCTAAGCAATAGACGGAAACATCAGCATATGTTGCCATCGCGCTACCTCTCCGCTGGCGCCCCGCGCGCAGTGTTGCCGTTCAAGGCGTGCGCAAGCTTGTTGCGCAGCTTGGCGGAGAGTACAGCCTGCACAAGTCGCACCACGACGGCGTCTACAGCCAGAAGCACTACAGCCGCCACGGTGCTCAGTTTAGTGCGTACGCCCTCTTCTTGCGAACTAGCAGCGGCGAGGCGGACCACAGCCGCCTCAACTGTACAAACACGTTCCGGCAGGGATGTCAAGAGCCGGCTGGATAGCAAACCCACCAGGTGCATTGCGGCAGAACACCGGTGCGGGAATGAAAATTAGAAGCATGTCACTCACTCTCGAAATTGGCACATTGCTGGGGTACCAGCTTGCGTCCGACGACGCACCGCAAGCCAGCGATGTAGAGGAAGAACAGCATTCGTCGTGAAAGGGCCTGTGCGCCGTTCCGTCAGGCAGATCATGAATAGGACTTTACATAATGTTACACGTCAGTGCCGGGTCGTCCAGTACCGCCTTTATGTGGAAGATCCTATGCAGTACTGGCACGGAACTAAGCCAGCAACGAATCAGGAGATATGCGAAGTCGAAGCAACTTGCCAACTCTTCATACTTCGTGTCCTCGGTACATGTTGAGCCCGTGGTTAGCGGCAGCACTTACAATCGCAGATGCACAATGCATCCGGTCTCCAGCTCCGACCAGTACTCTGCCAAGTGCAAGCCGCGGGGTTCCTGATCGGCATAGCTCTTTCGTCGCTCGTAGCGGGGCTGCACAGAACTCGACTCGAGCAACAACCTCGTCCAGCACTGTCTGCTCGGTGAATCTTCGGCGAATCAGGCTGCGCCGATAGGCGCGCGTGGGCCCGCCCCACGCAATCAGATCACCTGAATCAGTAAGGCTCCCC